TCTCTCTCTCTCTCTCTCTCTCTCTCTCTCTCTCTCTCTCTCTCTCTCACACACATACTTTTTCAAGGAAAAATTCATTTCCTGATAACACAGCAACTGTACATGTTAAAATGTGCACATGTTGAACAAACAGAAACTGCCTGAAGGAAAAGATCAAATCTCATTGTTCCAGGAACAGCAGAGGCTGGTAAACGTACTGTACTTTCTTTCCTTATAAAACTTTTTTTTCTCCTTATCTCTTCATCTTTCTTGGTCTGTTATGCTCTTGATTATAAAACATGTTATAACAGTTCTTAAAAATGACAGACTTGAAAATGACAAAATTAAAAGTACTTCCATTGGTATTCTTTGACCTTGATAAAATAATATACATGCCCTGTTTAAATAAATGAAATACATTTTAGACTATCTGATTAAACGTTTGAAAACAGTATGCTAACAATGTCATTCCAGTTCACAATTTTTCAACAATTGTTCAGAATCCGATAACTGATGAAGCCATTTGCATGAGTGAAAAAAAAGGAACAACTCAACAAGATGTCATGCCTAAACTTAGGTATTAGAGCATACATGTATTTTATGTATTTTTGCATAAATGCTTAAACAAACAAATGAATGCATTTATAGCACCTAAAACATACACATTTTTTATTTTTTTTTAAACTTGCAAACAACTTTAGAAACGTCCAAATATTTACATATGCTTTTAGGCAGCAGTGGCTGATTTGTAAAAAAAAAACAAATTCAAAGGAGATGGCTGTATTTATGGTATATTTTAGTGCCACATATAATAAAAAAATAAATGTAAGATTATGAGATTAAAGTAATAATATCTTCAAAATAAAATTTAAATTATGAGAATTTAGTTGTAGCAATATGAGACTGAAGTTGTAATACTTTGAGAATTAAGTCATAGCAATATGAGATTAAAGTAGCAATATTTTGAGAATACTGTAGGTTGTTGTATTTTGTGAAAAAAGTAAAGATAACAAGGATAAAGTCATAGCCAGGGATTGATATTAACTTTTTCACTCACCAGCCAATTTGGCTACTAAATTTTTAAGTTACCGGCCATTCATAAATTCTACTAGCCAAAAAAAAAAAAAAAAAAGGACAGAAATACACCAACAGTTTGAGGCCGTCTACACTGGGTGTGACAAAACGACCGTTGCAAATCATTTTGTCAGTACTAGGGGTGTGCGACATTGACAAAAAATTATATCTCAATATTTTCTGTGATTTTATCAATAAAGATAATTAGACGATATTTTGCTGAGTGTGTTATTGTGCCGATATCTTAAAGACTACTGTGGACAGCTGACTCCTAAAGTTTTTTATATTCTTCATATTCTGTGAGCGGGTCAGTTCACAGCAGTGATAGAAATTAATCTTTTCCAATAAGTTTAAATTGATTTTTAACTTTTATGGGCATTCTTACCTTTATAAAGCCATTTTTTTCTAAAAGTGTACATCATCTTTTTATTCAAATTCTTACATTTAATCAGTCAATTATAATAATAATACATTTAGGCTGTTACTAAACAAATTAAATCAGTATCAATAAAATTAATCTTTGCAGAACTTGCATATGAAGTGGCATTTAGATGTATTTACACGTTAATACAGCTTAGAGGGACATGGAATTCTTTAGCCTGCCGTTACAAATGCATAAATAATGTTTTGATATTTAAAACATGAAATGTTGAATATTGATATTTGAAATTATTTAAAAAAATTAAAAGATACTTTAAATGTGAAATTAAAACCACCAGTAGGTGGCAACAAGTCACTGTTAAGTGAGTCATTGTGATTGAACCGAATCATTTACACGGTTGATTCATTCAGAAACAAAACAACATCATGTTGCTCAGAGACGCAAAACAGTAGCCTACTGTGGCTGTGTTTGGAATGTTTTTTTTTGTTGACGAAATAGCACAGAAATAGCGACCCGCCACAGCTGATTTTTACCCGCATTTGGCGGGTGTTAATTTCAAACCCTGTGTATATATATATATATATATTACTAATTACTAATGCCAAGTCTGTTTTCCAGTGGTTTTCATAAAAATCAAACATTTACACACACACACACACACACACCGGTTCGGCATACACTAGGACCGCGGTTCAACTTAAATCTGACAATGCATCTGTAATATGGTTTGTTAGAGTTCGGCTAATGCATGTTTCTGTTGATGGATACAAATTCTGGCTTCCCAATACATTACAAGAGCAATGAGAGAGAGAAAAACAATACGTGGACAAACCAGTCACTCTTTAATCAATGCTGGAATAACTGTCATTTATGCTGTCATCACGTGTTGATAGCGCAGGTGAGACCTGAACAGCACACGTTGCTATCTGTGTTTAAACTAAACTCATTTAAGCTTTGCCAGTTTAAATATTAAAGAGCCAGAGGACGTAAACTCGCGCGCGCAGTGAGAAGATTTGTGCGTGCCCTCATTTGAAGAGCGTCTCAGAACGCGTGCAAATATTAAGCTCTCTCTGAAGTATTGTGTTTAAATTGACAAATTCACACAAAAATGTATGTCAAAATGCCGGTCTTGGTGAGTATCCTAGCAGATATAATCGGCTGAACGTACAGTATCAATGCACTGGATCAGTGCATTCTCTTAAAGTGACAGCACATTCTTAATATTAATCAAACAGCAACAACACGGAAATCTCTCACTGCTCTTGATTGAATAACTTTTGTAACTTTATTAATAAGGATTAATCTTTAATTTATACAGTCAAATATGCAATGGTTTTTACATATGATTTATTCAATTTCTGTACCTAAAAACTGTTAAAAAAATCTGTAGAAGTGAAAGCAAAATCAGGTGTGGCTGCATCACTAGTGCTAATTCTATAACACAGCAGTGTAATTAGTGTGACTGGATTTAGACAGAAACTTATGAGAGGAAGGGTTATCATGATTTAAGGTTGGAAAGAAAGTGGAAACAGGTTTTTTGGAGAATTCTGTGATGAGAGAGAGCGCTGTACATTCACTCCCCCCACCTACAATCCCTGCCGGTACGAGACTCGAACCCGCAACCTTTGGGTTACAAGTCCGACTCTCTAACCATTAGGCCACGACTTCCTCAAACCAAGATTTTCTGCTTTTCTAAGCACTCAAAGTCCTCTACATTTTGAGGGGGGTATCTCCTCGTCCACCACCAATTCAGTTTAGTATTCGGTTAGTATTCAGTTAGTCATGTGATCCCAAAATGGCAGGGCCCGCTCCCATGTAAATTAAATAGCTGTAAATAGGCAACTGATACGGCTAAAATCTTCATTTCATGTGAGTAAACAGTTTTTGGGCGGTAAATTGTTTTAATGAGGAAAATATGTAAAAGTGAACTTTTACGTTTATACATTTAAAACAGCAGCCTGTGGCAGCTAAAAGCCCAAAGTATACTTCGATAAGGTATGCGCACAGTGCGCAAGATGTAAATTTAATCAACAAAACACGCACATACCATATATGCACAGCCAATTTTTTTTAAACCATGTGAACTTTGAATGTGCGAGCTGATTAGTTTGTCTAAAAGTTGGCAACACTGTGCCAACGTTTCACAGAAAAAAAGAAGAGAATGAATAACAACAAACTAATACAATAACGGAATAATACCAACAAACTACTTTAATTAGTAGAATTAATAGAATCAGAATAACAGTTGCAAACAGTAATAATGTGTTCGGCTGTATGCATTCACTAATATTCGTGTGAAAACTGAAGTATACTTGGGGCTTTAGCTTAAGGTCTTTGCACACTGAGTCCGAAATTCTCGTCCAAAATTTTCACATGTTAAAAAATAAATATGACCCCACGTTGTGTCAATCACGTTTACACACTGCCTCCGAAACTTTCGTCTGTCATAAAAAAATGAATAAAAAATGGATCAGGTTCGATTTTCTGCGTTTTCGCATCTGTAGCAAACATTTTGATAGGAAAGGATGACCGATACGGAGAGAAAAAAAAAAAAAAACGCATACAATTTCTGACTCAGTGTGCAGGGACTCTAATTGTCAAGAAGTACACTAACTTAGGCACCTTAAACAGTATACACAAACATACAATTTGTGATGCTAATCCTAATCTTCCATACCATACTGATAGTACGCGAATTAGGAATCTGAATAATGCATGGATGAAGAGATGATAAAGGATTCCATGAGATGATTAATGGGATTGAGCAAAAATTTAGCAAAAATATAACTTCTTTTCATTTTTGCATGTTTTCCTCCCCTTTGCAAACCTTCTTGAAGGCTGACGTTGAGGAAGGCTCTGGTTGGAAATCACCCTTAGGGTCTGATCCAGGCCCAGTTGTTGTTTCCCACTGGTGTAAGATCAGCATCTTAACAGCGATTTCCACCAGAGAACGAAGGGGGCGATGACCAACCTGGCTGATGGTGCTCATGGCCCTCATGTAACTCTCATTTCGGGAACGAAATTTGGGCGAGGCCAGCAGACCGGCCGGGTCCAGACTGTCCAAACTGCGGTTGATCGAAACCTCACTCACCGCTCGCAGGTAACTGTGACTCCGGATCTGCAGCTTGGGGGAATGGGACTCCGTACTGATCCTGCAAACAGAGAGAGAGCGAGAACAGGTGTACAAGTATTTAATGAGGGGTGAGATTATTCTTGTAACTCACACTCATTCATCATGTTCCTATGGTTTTCTTCCAACAGATATTTCATACTCATTACTGTTGACCTAAAAACAACTCGACCTGGTTTTGTGTGTGTGTGTCAGTGTATTCTTCATATATCTGACACCAATGTAAACATGAACTCCTGACAATTAGTACTAGCATTTGACTGTTTGTGTTTACATGTGGATGGGCAATCAGGTCTTTGAAATATGAGCACAGAAACACATTAAAACATGAACGCACACAAACTCACATTCTATCCCTTCAGGTCGAGTCAATTTTAATTATGGATGTGGCTCTTAAAATAGTATGCAGTTACAGCGAGAAAAAAAACACACATTAGTCATTCTTCACTGGAGTGAGGAATGTAGAGAGAGAGGGAGTAACAGAAAACAAAGAGCAGGGAAGAATGCAGGAAAAGTACAAGAATATATTTAGAGGACGAGATGACAGTGGATGAAATCAATTAAAGCAGCAACTGATGGAAAAACAACTAAATAGTTTAAGTTTGCTGAAGTGTACTATGAGAAGGAAAGCAGGAAAAATAGGACAAAGCTCATGTATTCTCATTATATGCTGTTATTTCAGGAGCTCAGCTTTTTACAAAGACAGTTTTTCACATGCTATATGTTGTAGATAAATCATTGATATATTTCAAATGTTTAAATTATTTAAACATGGTTCAGTTATTTAAACAAAACATTATAGTTATTTTTTATATACGTAAATAATGACATTGGCCTATTAAAGAATGACACATTATCATCAACTAAAATATAATTTTTATAACTAATCATATAAAATAAACGAATATTGAATATTTACTATGCGTGTTTTGACCAAATTTGACTAAAAACATTTAAATAAAAAATGGCTAAAATTGTACAAAAAAATAGATACTGTATGACTCAGGTCCCACATCTGTGGAATTGTTTTGCAGAAATAAAGGAAATATCTGTCTATAATGAGCACAGGCCTCAGGGGATTGCATATTTATTATATAACTCAACATTTTTTTTCTCTAATATACATGCGGTTGTTGAACCGCACATGAGTGTGTATGTCTACTGTATTACTGCGTTTCTGAACAGAAAGTGCGTTTATGGTTCATAGGTTTAGAAATGTCCTTTTTTATTATGCATTATTTATCACCCCAGTTTCATGTACGTGTGTGTACAGGAGTATGTATATGTGTGTTTGAATGCATGTGTCCATATTTGAGTTCAAGGCACAATGCTCTGATTATAAATATTCAATGCTGCGGCACTTCCTGTTGAGCAGGAAAAGATAAAGAGCACATGACAGGGACCCTACTCAGTGTTTCCCGTCCTCTACACACTGAGAAGGGAGTATCTGAAGAGTTCAAAATGAATTCATTTGGAACACTGATGACATCATATGCTTGAGTAAATTAAATATACAATTTGAATTGTCATGCATATACATAGAAATTATTATAACATGCATTTATTTGATCAAAAATACAGCAAAATCAGATTATTTTATAACAATTTCAAATGTAATTTATTCCTGCAATGGCAAAAGCTTAATTTTCATTAATCATTTCTCCAGGCTTCAGTGTCACATGATCCTTCAGAAATCATTCTAGTATGCTGACTTGATGCTCAAAACAGCTGTGCTGCTTAATATTTCTGTAGAAACTACAATACATTTTCCCCCACAAACCTTTGATGAATATGAAAGTTCAAAAGAACATCATTAATTTGAAATTGAATTATTTTGTAACATTTATTTTACTGTCACTTTTCATCAGTTTAATGCATTCTTGTTGAATAAAAGTATTTGGTAACAATTTAGTGTAGGGACAAAGTCTCACTATGAACCAGTTGATTATTAGCATGTCTATTAATAACATAATAGCTGTTTACTAGTACTTATTCTGCATGACCATATTCTAAATCCCTAATCCTACCCAATACCTAAACTTAATAACTACCTACTAACTATTAATAAGCAGCAAATTAATAGTTTATTGAGGCAAAAGTCATAGTTAATGGTTTGTTAATAGCAAGAACTGGACGTTAAAATCAAATGTGATGATTAATTTCTTTAAAAAAAAAAGAGCACTTACATTTTTACACTGCACTGATGAGCATATGCTGTTGTCACAGAAATGATGCCCACATTATACGAATGCTTTGCTTGCAAAGTTTACACACAATAGTGCACATTCACACACACAGAACTAAAAGCGTGTGTTGATTCTCTTTATAATGCAAATCAGTTTGCTCTCATGAATAAGTCTGTGGGATCCTAAAAGTGACTCAATTCATTGTATATTTTCTAAGTAGGATATGTTGTCACTGTAGTACACGGCTATAATTGCAATATGCATGTGAGGTTTTAACATAAATACTGAAGCCAAGATCAGTTTCAGACGATATAACGGTGTGCAACTGAAAAATGAAAGGACTTGGAAGGAACTTTAAAGGCGCAGGAAAATTCCCTTTGAAATGACTTTGTTCTGTTGAATTTTTAATAAAGGGGAGAGTGAAAGGATTTCACTGTAGTGGTAAGAGTCTCAGGACATGAAGGGATTTTATATGAAATTGCACTGAGTAAGTGTGTATGCATTTGTGAGTGAACAGAGGTGGATTTAAGGATGGGACTACACTGTCTCCAGAGACCCATCCCAACAGCACTTAGAGATGTGGAGTGGGTGGAACGCCTGTAAAATACCATGTTTAAAATGACCCCAGAGAAGATGATGGTTCATTGAAATTGCAGACGGATCGGCAGGTCCATGCACCTGCACACCAGACGTACACATACAGCACATGTATTTAATTTCCCATGTGATTTCACGGCAACAAAATGCACAAGCTAATACGTTTCCAGACTCACTTGAGTGTGGTCATCTCGGTGAGGGAGGGCTGAGTGGCTTTCAGGTAGCTGGCTCTCCGGGCCTGGACTTTGGGTGAGGGTTTAGGGCTGCAGTCTGAGTCTCCACTGTCCTCCTCTGCCATAGCCTTGATGTAGCTGCCGCTCCTCATCCTCCTGCACGGGATCTCGTCATCCTGACCCACAGACGAGAAGCCACCCCACTCATCCTGAGGAACCTGCAGAGAGCGAGAGAAAGTTAGCTTCTCATAAACACCTGATCTGCCTGTAAGACTTAATTATAACGACAAGCAATAAAGCAGTGCATGATGTAGACAGATAATAGAGAATAAATTAGACAATAAATGAAACCAACTAAAGAATAAATATAAATTCATATGATCATTCAAACATACATTAATGAGCACATTAATTTATAAACAGTTGCAAATTGTAATTATTAATATGTTTATATATAAATGTATTATTTATGTATAGTATTAAAGGGGTCATGACATGACAAACCAAATTTCCCTTGTTCTTTTGACACAGAAGAGATTTTTGTATGCTTAATACATCCTGTAAGTTTCATAACTTAAAAATGTCCTCATCATCAATAAAAATGCATTTATGTAATAACCCTCAGAAAACGGCTCGTTTTGGATCCGAGTACTTTTTTTTTCCAGAGTAAATTTTAGTACTTCAACTAATTTAAATTTTAAAAATGAATTCTAATTTTTGTTTAAGTGAAGTAATAATAACTTTCATATTTAATAACTAGGCATATAATAAAACAAATAATTGAATGAATGAATATTTTGTAAACAGCTGTTAACTCACCAAATAATAATTAGTTTAGAAACGCATATAAACACTGGAAATCATTTTAACACACTAAAATTAAAAACGTATGCTTTTGAAAGTTTAATTGCCAACTAAGTCACAACC